TGCGATAGCAAGCAAGCAGCTCAGCGGGCTTGCCCGACCGCGGAACCTCGTGGATAGCGAGCATGCGCAGATTGGAGGAGACTCCGGCTTCGCAGAGGGCCGCGGAAACAGCCTCGCCTATGCCACCTATTGGGTAGCAATGAGCAAAGAACTGTATAGTCAGGGCGAAACTAAACGCAATCTGTGGTAGTCGTATTTAGCGCCACTTGCTGAACTTCAGCCTCTGTTTTTCATGTCAACACGAAAGGCAGACAGAATTACCTTCTGGTGCGTGATCCTCGACGGTGATGACACGTCCCTGAGTGTAGGCCACGGATTTTGAGATGAGATTGCTGTCCAAAGGCTTGATGGTAAATGGATCGATGATACGGAGATTTATGCCCTCTTTAGCGAGTGTCTCAGCAGCTTTGAAGGCCTCGTAGAGGGTAACACCCGCAGCGACTACAGTCACATGGTCCTCGCCACCTGGAAGAGCAGTCTTGCAGAGCTGCAGAAAAAAACAATTCAGGAGAAATTTAATCGATTCGATCGAAGGCAGTACCTGGACAATGTATTATAATAAAGTGGAAACAGATCCATTGAAAACACACAGCTTGGACCACCGCAACCACAGCCATGTGGCAGAACAGTGGACGACGCAAATAAGACTAAAGGCATCACTAACCTTTGCCTGACCAATGGCAAACTGTTCGTTCTCTTCGTATATGACTGGGGTTGCGGGTCGGCCAGTCCTGATAAAGCAGATGCCTTTTCGATTAGCAGCCAACTCAACAGCTCGTTCACAGGAAACCGCGTCCGAAGGGTAGAAGACAGTAGAACCACGGACGGAGCGGAACATTGCCAAATCCTCCAGAGCCATTTGGCTGGGACCATCCTCGCCTAAATGCATACAGAGTGGATAGGTTCCTCTACCACAACAATGGCTTTCTTCTGAACAAACTGACATTCTGAATATGTTTAAGTGAGAAATAACTAGTGATGTCTCCCAAATAGACGCAGGAGTTCCATTGGTGTATCCGCGGGATAGGTGGAAATTAATAGAAAGAAATTTGCAATGCCAGAAAAGGAGAACCTTTGAGAATCAGTAAATCTAAGGATAATGGGGCAATTATTCTGTGAGTTGCCCTAGTCGGCTGAAGCTCCGAAACAGAAACAAACTTGTCCGTGCATCCACAGCA